GGGTCCTCCGGAGGACCCGGCCTGTCGTTTTGGACACAGCCAATGAGGTCCCACGGCCCTCTGCGGCCCAAAGTTTAAAACCGTTGTTGTTGTTTTTTTGGTTTTTTTTTTTGAGGGCCTCAAGGTGGCGCTCTCTGCCTTAAGGCTCTGGTTCATCCTCCATCAGAAGGTTGATTGATGCAGATCATCAACCGCTTGGTTAGTATAGCTGATGCACTGACTCAAAGTCTGAGATAACTGTAAGGATTTGTGCGTTTACAGAAAAGGGCAARCAAGTGGAGCTTGAAGCTGAATAATGTAGCAAACTGCATCCATGAGCACATCAGCGCATAAGTCTGAGCAAACTGATTAACATTTTTATAACAAATAAAGTCCGACTCCATCAGCATTGTTATCGTTGGCCAGGAGAGCTGACATACACTCGATTTTAACCGTAAACTCCATCTCGTGGCAGTTTCTRCTGCTGACCCAGTGACCGTCCTTTGCTGAAGAATGGACAAATATCCCATTATGCGCAGTTCAGCAAGTGCCGTTTGATAGTAATCCAGGCGGGATTATGGCTGTTTCCGATGCATAGGTTTGTCCACTCCTTATTACGTCTGTGATAGTCAACATGTTGATGGATTTTTGTTATCCTGCTACTCTTTCCAGCTCCTGCATTTTCCTTTTGTCTCGCCTTCRAGTAAACCCACAGTGCAATGTTTATCGAATGCACAAGTGGCATACAAGAAAAAGGAAGAGGAAGCGAAGGGGTAAAAGTGAGATAGAAGAAAACAAGTTAAATGGGTTACGACAAGCAGGTCTGCCATTTTCCGCCACAAGCTATTTATTTCATTCCCTGACACAGATATCATCCTGCGGGAAACTTTGCTRTGGCAATTGTCTCAAAAAAGTGAAGCGTTCTGCGCCCGCGGGGTGTACAAGAGGGTGGACAAAATGATGCTGTTTTCCTGCACAACCGGTGAACAGCAGTAACAGCTCCCTCTGGGAGTCGGCGGTGTAAGGGAGGGGAGGGGACTTTATCAGGAGTGAGAGCCCTGAACCAGCTCTAAGTCACATGCAGCTGCTTTAATGACGCACAATCAGACAGTGAGAGAGGCCAGCTCAGGATGGACGGTAATGGGAATAACAGAATTATCTCAAGACTTAGTGTTTTGCCGAGCTCTTCTCAGGGGCAGTCAGGACTGCRGTGCCAGAGCTCTGACTGTGGCCCTGTTGTAAGATAATGGTGTTAATTTTGATAAGAATAAATTGAAAGAATTAAAGTGGAGGGGAGAGAATTTTTCAGGAAGCTATTAATGTAATCTGGTGTTGGATTAATGCTAGAGTGGAGCAGAGTGCTATGAGGGCCACAAAGTGCCCCCCACCCCCACCCCAACCCCTTCTAATCTGCAGTTTAAAATGTAAAATGTAATTAAAGATACTCAGGCTGAGTAAGGGAGAGCACATCAGCAAGAGAACGTCTTTAACCTGACAAGGGATTGCAGCTAAGCCACAAACAGCATTATTAACATTGCATTATACACCCTGGGCGTGTTTGGGCTGTTCTGAAGTCATCCTGACTGTGGGAYGTAAAAAGATTTTATGTCATGAGGGACCACAATGCTAAAATGTCACAAGATTTCAGGCCGAGTTGAAAATTGTTTCATGACTTTGTCGTTTTTTGCTGTGAAATTATCACTGAAAATGTCTCCAGCACCTGAAACTGTTCATAAGGCAAAGTTATTTGAAGCGAATAGACATGATGCCACAATATCAGTTTTTTTGGATGCAGCCATGTTGTACTTTTGGGCCTAGAGTTTTCTATTTTTTCTATTTCTCTTTATTTAAAAAACAGAAAATATAACACCACAGTTTACTTTCCACTCATACTACACAAAAACACAATAAGTTACAGTTAATGACATATCYGAGCAGTTTTTAACAGATAATTTGTATTTTATTTGAAAAATCTCAGGGAGCTGCAGCTCTTCACATCATCAGGCCATGCGTTCCAGTGTCTGCATATTAGGGACATTGGGCTGTAAATATGTAACTCAGCTATACAGCTGTATAGTTTTAGCATGTTTTAGCTGTTTCCCTGCTCCTACACACCCGATTTAAATAATTAAATTACCTACTCATAATGTCAGCAAGTTTGGCAGAATCCTGTCAATCACTTATTCATTTCAGTCAGGTGTGTTGAAGCAGATAAACATCTAAAACAGGGATGGGCAACTTAAATGGTGGAAGGGGCCCCGATTTTTGTTGTAATAGAGGGCCACATAGCACTGAACACTTATCCATGGATGGATGGATGGATGGATGGATGGATGGATGGATGGATGGATGGATGGATGGATGGATGGATGGATGGAT